AAATAAATCGATATATAATATCGAAATATAGACCATACAAATATTTCTCCCGCCACCGTAATCAAACCTGGAACCTCTGCGTGGCAAACCAGGATTGCGGTCGGTTTGCTTCTATAAAACATTTGTAGTTATTTTCAATTGTTATGGGTACTTGTTGACATTATACAAAAAAAGACGCTATTTAGGACACCCACGAGATCAAGGTTTTAATCGTCACCCAAAAGCGAGAGAAAACCTCGTCAGCAAATGAAATAAATTAACCAATAGGCGATATGCGTGTATCAGGCAAGGAGCACCTGGGAGGATAGCATTTGGCAGCGGCGAGGGTCCCTCTTCTCATCGTAAATCACTCGGTGTATTTTTCTGCTCCGCAGAGACTTACGTGTTTTATGCGAGCCTTCCATTGCCTATTTAATTATTGATTTATTGAACATTGGCAATAAAGCCATCAGTAATAACAAAGAATTAATAAACTCAAAAAGTGTAAAAACTGTGTGAACAAAGTCCCGCCATTTTTCTCTAGCATTGCCTCCGTTTCGTCGGCGTTTCCCTTTTTCGTTTTTTTTTGTTGCTAGTTCTTGTATGAGTGTCGTATATTTTTATTTGTTCCATTTGCTGTAATTTGTCACTGCGACGTTTAAGTTTTTAAAACCTCTTCCGTTTATGGTTTCGAATAAGTGAATGACGTCATGAAATAGATAACATTTATGGAGACAGTATAAAACTTTACGTACTTTTAAATCTGTAAATAAACTATAAACTTGACGCATGTAGACTTACGTAAGCCTTAAATATTCAATACTATATAAATACACTTTAATACACGCATAACCAAAATATAAAAACAAATAAAATACGGTTAACAGGAAGCTATTGCTAGATAGCAATCTCTTTCTGGCGATCCCTATTGACAGTTCCTACAGACATTTCTGTCGCCAAGAGGTGTGTCCGCATTACTGTGTTCCGGTTTTGAATGGTAAGGATGCTGGTGACATTACAGGCACACGGGACTTGTTAACTTATGTCTCAGGGTGACGGGTGCAGTGGCACTGCCTATCAGATCTTTGCGATTTAAAGCTCAGAGTGGCTTTGCAACTGTTATGGATAGGCGTGTAGATAGGCTTAAAATTATAAAAAAAAAGTTATCTCGTCTACTATCTTTAGAGATAGTGCAATTACGCGTTACTAGCATTAGTTACGCGCAACTAGCATTGGTTTATTTTATTATAGATATATTTCCATTTCGGTAATTTAGTGACCAAGTCAAATCCGCGTATGGTCGTCAACCAAATCAACGTGGTGGCAACCAAATCAGCGTGATATACGGGAATCTATTGTTATCAGTCCGTATGCAACATAAATTAATGCTTGCTGTGCAAAAATGAGAGTCGTAGTTATTGAGAGAACAAAGTAATGACGTTAGATCCCTTTACTACAAAATTTGGCCACGGAAGCAGTTTTATTGAAGTCTATCTTTTTTGAAGACGGAGTAAAATGACAGTTCATTGTGCAAAAGTGTTGCCCGCTTACGAGCAGCTAGTGATTGCAGTCGATAAATATTCTATCGACTATCGGTTAAATATTGGTCACACTTATGGAATAAATTGCTGAACTTATTTCATTTGAATCATCCTCGACCCATTATTCATGCAATTACAGAGCACAAGTTCATTTGAATTGTCAATTTTTGTAAGTTCAAACATACATACGCTACATTTAGAACTATGTTTATGAAAAATACAGAGAGGAGACCCATTTCAAAGATTTTCATTTTACTTCAATATAGATAATCAAATTCGGCCATTCTTCTTAAAATGTATATGAACAAAAATTAATTTCGACCATAGTAGGTCAATTGTCAAAATAAGAATAAAGAAATCATTAACGCAATTAATAATAATTAGAACGTCGTTACATTTACAATTCAGTCATTTTTGGCAAAATTCTATCTTCTTTCAGAATCTATCGATAAAAATATCGACAACAACTACATAACTATTTAAACTTTTATGAAAACTGGCAACTTTACGTATGTCATTTTACTCCGTCTTAAAAAAAGACAGACTATAATTTAGTTTTTGACATTACTTAACAGGTCGTGCCAAAGGTACTTTTTCTCCGTAACAGCGGCTTTTGTACAAAATTATAAACTGTTTTAATGCTTCCAGTATGGGTAATTTTTACTTTTGACAGAAATTTTGCGTTAGCTCTGAAAAACGGTTCCTTTTCGCAATACGGCAGTGTACCTTCGAACATCATTTACACCATAATTCACACGAAAAGAAATGCCCATTTGTTGGCAATTAAGTACAATAGGTATAAATGTATCAAACATTCTACCATATAATCAACTATCATTATTAAAACAATGCAAAACACGAATAACACGGCAATTATACATTCATATTTCTTTTTTTACCGCGTTCCGTTTTATTCAGAAAATTTAAAAACAATTGGTGTATTCGAAAAACTGTTTTGATTTCTCGATTCTTGATTTCTATCATTGAAAAGGAACGGATTTTACTTAATTATAGTTCTTCATTCGAATTAGATCTCCGGGGGATTATTTTGAGCGCAACCGACAATTATTTTCACTCGATAACCATTGTTAATTATTGTTTTTAAATGTACTTCTATTGTAACGTTGGAAATGGTTAGTTTTTTTTTGTTTATTCAAGTTTCGCTTGATGGTGTGAGCCTCCTCGTTTTATTTTAGTTTTTTAATTATAGCTTATTATATAAAAGTTTAGACAGGTAATTAGAGTGCGTGAATCACACAAATTAGTATTATACATTCTTACTTTCAAGTAGGTATACGAAACAAAGGACTTGTAGACTTCATAGAGTCGAACGGTTTTTGTGAAACGCACATTTAGCAGCAGTAGAGCTGTGAAAGAATTCGTCTAGGGAAGTACTGCCACCTTGCTTATTTCTGCCGCCAAGCAGCATATGTGCATTACTGCGTTACAATTTTAAAGGTGGCATCTGTGGCACCTTATGACTCGAGCGCAGTTCGTTGCCCCTCAGATCTATGCGATTTAAAGCACTGAGCGGTGCAACTGTTTTGGATAGGCGTGTCGCTTATCAGCAGGCGCACGACTCGTTCGTCCCGTACCTTGGTAATATAGGTAAATAAAAAAATCCGTACTACATTTTTTGTCGCCGTTGAAACGAATTGGAGCCCGTTTTACCTCTCTGATGTTTTGTTATTTATTTCACTCCACCTTCGCAAGATAAAGAACATGCAACTCTATTACCTCCCATCTTTCCTTGCACATTATAACACGTGTCGTCACGACCGGTTGGATATAAGAGGCATATTTGGACAATTTCCTCTCGCCCCCTCGCGTTTCCATAAATATAACACCTCGCCCTAAAAAATTCGCCAGGTTATTACAATTTTTCGCCTTATGAATACACTGTAATATCCCTCGCGAAGGGAGTCACACCTCACCAATTTTACTTTAATTCTTATTTAGAGTGGCCCCAAATTTTCGGTTACAAGATTTTTTTACTATTTGTTTATGGTGCTAAACTTTTTTCTTTCTCGCTGTTATGACGCAATTTTCGCTTCTCGCTACGACGTAATTTTGCTTTACGGTTGTTGTTCTCCATTTTCGATTTTGCTGCGACATTAATAAACATCTATTATTTTGTTAAGTCAAGATTTTGCAGATATTACACTTAGAAACTCAATTGTGTACTCGATGTTACTTAGAAAAATTGTATAATAATTTTATTTATATGCCTAGTATATTTTTGTTCTTTTTTTAAAAAAATGGTTATATATATTAAACAGTCATGACAACAAGATTTTGAAAAAGTGTTCACTGGTTAAAATGAATGGAAATTTAATTTCTCTGTCCATAAAGATAGGTTTAGAAATGATAACCAGGATAACATGGAACAGAGAAATTATCTATTCAAAAAGACAACAGAGGTCAAGAACTTTTTTATTTTTCGAAAAATCGACCGTTCATTCCGACTCGCGCGACGTCATTGCTCCGCTATCAATCATGCATGCACCATTGAGCCGCGCGCGCTTTTGTTCGAATTACGAATTTCCAAAAAGGAACATAACGCAAGAGAAAATTATGGTGCTTGCATTCTTTTTAAAATACGAATTCAAAATTCGACCCCCGCAGTGTTGCCTGCATGCAACTTACATGTAGTTGTATTATCATTCAATTAAAGAATTAAAAAAAGAGCATCGTATAGGTCCCCCATAAATTGTTCGCATTTTTAATTCTCATTTTTTTTATAACTGGTCAACCGTGTCGTGTTATCTAATCTGACAATAACGGTGCTTATGCAGTGTGACACTGTTAAAAAGTAGGGAAATTGCTAATGGTGTATGATATTGCCGCCCTACGCTCTGGGGTAAGAAAAGACTTAGGGTGGCAACACCTTGGTTCTCCCAGGAGGTGTTTTTCGAGTGTTTTTTTTCTTTTTTTCTGTTTTTTTTTTGCGTAATGACGTTGAGGTCCTGGGAGAGTAGGATGAATCCATTAGATAGGCGGGAAGAGCTTAATGTTTGAGTTTTTTGTTGAATCGAATGTCGTTGTCTCATGTGTCGCGATAGTACATTAGTAGGAATTGTAATGGCTTTTTCTCGTATGAGGAGGGTCGCTGGAGCCCTCCTTTATCGTTATGTGCTGATCAAAGTACTAGTTAACTGGGGACAATTGCAATTGCCCAGTGGGGTAGGTAGAGACTTCGCTCGCATCAGTCTCGATTTGGTTGAGATTTTGCACGCTGAGGTCGACCTTTCCTTATATTTCCATCCACATTTTCTATAACACGCAATACGAATAATTGTAAATACCTCTAACAGTTACCGGAATAGAGGCCTAATGTTTGTAGGGGATGACTTTCAAATTAAAAAAAAAAGATATTTCCCAGCTTTCGATATTCGAAAACCCTTATTAGTGCTCTAAACTATTCCAAATCGTTTAAAATTTGACAGTGTTCTAATTTGAAAAATGTATTATTTTTTCCAGGCAAATGGTGTCCGTCGCGACGCGAATGGTCGTCGCCGCCGGACGTTGCGCGGCGGGTCTACTCCTCCGTGTTTCTGGGCAGCCCTGGTGAGTACCCAGGTATGATCGTTCTGATTACTTACAACCTTATTTGCAGTTCGAAAATAAACTACGTAATCAATTTAATTTCTTGGGCACGTTTCGGGAACTACAATGTAAACATTGGCAGCACAAAGTTAATTTTATCAGTTACTTATACATTTTTATTACTGCGTGTTTTATTTACGAACTGCAAATATAAGTTGTAATCGAAAACCCCAAATATTTAAATTATTATGTTCGAATTTCAAAAAAGAATGCAATTCGATTTAAAATATTGAATTATGGCTGATTGAAACAGTCATATTCAAATTTTAAATTTTAGTTTTTATAACGTTGAGACGATTTATCTACGAACAAAATATCGATTTTTATTTTTATCAAAGAATAAAGAACGTAACACACCTGTAGGTACAGCGTAGCGCTACATAAAAACAAGTGCGTACACCTGCGATGACGTCACAGAGAGAAGTTGCCGACCATCCATCACGTGACGTAGGCACGTCGAGGCCTCCCGAATATAGGCCTTTGCCTTGAAATTTTACAAATAACTAAACATTACACTCGCGTACACTTTACAGTAGTTATAAAACAATTTATATCTTTGTAGATAACGTTCCATAAACGTCCAACTCTCAATACCGTATTAAAAACACGTAGGAAGCACTTAAATTCGTAATTCAAATTTGAATATAGAATAAGGAGAAGTTTCAAAAACCACAAAGGTATTTTGTTCCAATAAAAATTCCGTTCAATTTTTCTTTTTAAAGATAAAAGCATAAAGGAAGGCCCATTATCACCGTGACAATTAAAAACGCAACAAAAAATGACAAAGACAGATTTAGATTATAATTTGTGTTATCGTTTCCTTTAGACTATATTAAATTCCGCTTGGATAAATATGTCGTTAATCTGTATTAAAAATTAATCGATTTATTTTTGGTATGTCTCTACCAGCATATGGGGTTTATTTTACTAGAAAATCTATTTTAATATCCGGTTTATGAGGGGGATTTAAGGAATGGTTCCGTTGACATTCAAAATGTAAGTCGTAAGCCTTGAAAATAGCTGCCTAATTATAAATAAGAAGCAATTTGATTTTAACTTATTTAACATTATTGTCTGTTGGTAATTTCAAATGTCAATGAGAACTATATTTCCGCTGTTATTGAAATAGGCAAATATGTATAATAAATAAATGTCTGCGTTGATAAAGATATTTTAGAAAAAGTTTTGAAAAAATTTTTGAGAATATAAAAGAAATACTTTTTAATATATTTTATAAAGAAACAAAAGTCTGTCGAGTTAACCTTCCCAGATGCTACTGTGTACAATTTCTTCCTTTTGTGTTAAGTGTTTACAAAATTTTTAAATTATTTTTATCAAACCTTGACTAAGGTAAGGCTTGCTGCGCTATTTTTTGCGACCTTCATGGAGATGACAAGAGATCGTGTTGATAACGAGTGATCGATGCGCTGTCATCTCAAGTGCGCGCGCGCTGTTCGATATTCAAAATCAGGTAGCTAATACGTGCTGGAGAAAACATTTTTGAATTTTCAATTCAAAGACTAGAACATAAAAATAGCCATGGCAGCCTAATAGTTTGACCTCCCGCCTCACAAGCAAAGACGTGGGTTTCAATCCGTGCTTGACATAGATATTCGAAATTTATGTGAGAAATTTAATTTAAAATTTAGGTATTTGTCGAAGGAGGTTCACTGGCCAGGAGAAGAGACCCGTGCTCACCAGTGGGAGACATAAAAGAGTTGATGTTGACATACACCAGTTAATTGACAATATATTATTAGCCATTCTGTAAACACATGATAGAGACAGAAAGTTTACAATATTGGTTTCTTTAAGTATTTGTATCTACCTATCCTCGTTAATCATAAAATAACGAATGAATTAGGTACTTTTGTTTCTGAGTTTAAAAAGTGGGTGAGTTGTTTCCTAATTTGAGTAAGCACTTTTAAATCAGATGTCGATAATATGTATCTTGAAGCTTCCAAAGCTTAAAAGAAATAAAAATGGTCTCCACAGACCTGTGATTCGGCTGATACTTTGTAAGAGACGGCTCATTTTGACAGCTGTCACGCTGGGTCATTACAGGAATCGATTTAGCTGTCATCGGAAATATTTATGGTGTCAGCCCAGTTGTGATTTACACTAGCGACATCTGTCTGATGACAGAAGCTTTAAAAAATACATTTTGAAAATATTGAAATGTACCTATTACATGAGAATTTTTGTTTTGCAGTTTTGTTGTTTGAAAAAATGTGACGCAAATTGTACAAGATTGAATCGACATGATTAACTTAAGTTCCTTTTAAAGATCTTTTCTTTCTAATAAACAACAAATCAAATTAAACACGAATTAATTACCTAATCGTTAACTAAATCATTACAAAGTAAGAGTTAACATAAATAAATATTTTTAACCACTTGAAATTTTCAACTGAACTATGTATTGAGCGAGCACTAAGCATTTACAAACATTAATCACCCGGCTAAAGACACTTGAATCAACGGACCTAATTACCGGCGACTACCAAAATAATATCAATCATTTTAATCGTCCGCTATCGCTGCATTTATACCGAACGATCATCAACTTTGACGACCCGTTAACTTTTATTCTAACTATTGATGACAACCATCATCTTAAGAATTTCGTTTTAAAATTCGTAAATTTAAATTTAGAACTCTAATTACAACATAATAATAAATGCTGAATTCCAAAATTAAATCGTACTAAACAAAAAAAAGACATGGCAGCATTATCAACAATTTAATATTGTTTTATTAATAGAACAAAGAACAAAGAAACTTTCTCGACTACCGAAACCATTCGTAAATAAAATATTTGTTCTTCACTTGTCAAATAGTTACAGTGGATTCGATACAACAACGCCATCTATCCGCCCATACATAACATCAAAACTACATTCAACTACTCACAACCTAAATTAAACTTTATTACAAACTCACACTGTTACAATTCATACGACATACGAATGCACTTGCAGCGTTATAGAGTCTATATAGGGAACTCTATCTGTCTCTTGCTAACCCGTGTGAATATGGCATATTCGTCTCTATCTCGTTTTAACACGTCAGCTTCATTGCCCGTTTCCATTACACTATATCAATTACCGGCCGTTGCTCGGTTGACGGTCATTTTGATTACGATACACACGCGAACTAACTTACTACTTCTAATACAAGCCGTTAAATATATTCAAGAACATTTTCGAGTTAAAGGAGGCAAATTAAAAGTAATAGAAAGTAAGGTATTAACAACACAGATAGAGAAATAGTTATTAAGCGCTATATTCGCAGATCAAATACGAAGAGTACTGGATTTATTCTATCATGTTACATTTCCAATTTTTATCTTCTGTCTCGAAGACGGATTAACCGTGGATTAGAAAAACTGGGAACAGAAAGAGAACGCCATAAAGATATCGATTCCGTCCTCAATAAGAAAGGATTCGGCGCGAGCGAGCACGAGCTATATCGCTTTTATGACGTGCGAAAGAGATAAAACAATTCCTTATGTCGCTATTCTTGAGTCGTTTGCGACTGGGAAATGGCACTTTACATGGTGACGTTAAGGTCGCAGTTTCATTGTTATTAGTCTATATTGACGATTGTGAGGTATCTTAATGTTATAACTCAATTTACGTGCGTTTGTGATTAGATTCTTGCTTAGTGAAAAATAAGGTCGTTATTTGTTTGGGTGGGCGCGGCGACGGTTGCCATGGCGACGCGTTGGAATGCGTACGCTGGGTTGCCCGCTTCGCTGCTCTTTACCCAAATTAGTAATAAAATTATGTTTGTCTAATGATTACACTGGTTATGAGGTACGAAGTGTCTCGTGGTCGTAATAGAATATTATCTTGTTAGACAGTTTACGAATTTGATTCTTAGCCGTATTTTTATCTTATAAGGCTTCTGTTGATCTCTTTTCGGAACCTATTTGAACTTTAGTAACCTATAAGTATACCTAGTAGATTATTTTTACCACTTCTCGAATTTCTAGCTTAGTCTACTTATGGGTGCTTGACATTTAATTTCGTCTACGTAATTTATTGATTTGTCTCCGAGCGTCCCGGTCTTCGACCTCATTTGTCAAGTTGGACCCTCATGTAATTACACGGCGGCTTACGCCTAAACATGAATAACGAACTAATTTTTAATATTCCCATTTCGTTTGTGATTCGAAATTAGATGAAAGAAACAGACATATGATAGAACGCGAGTATGAGCAGGCAAGCAATAAATTGCTCAATTTGTGCCCGGCTCATAAGGTGCCTTCGGGTTCCTTTTTCAAAAAATCCAATGAGATCGATCGCTCGCCATGTCCGCAAATTAGAGCGGGAATCGTTGTTCGTTAACGCCGTTTTGAATCTCGAACGTCGTAACAGCCAATCGGTTTCTTTTCAAACGGATTCTTATGTCAAATGGGTTATGGATAGTTAAGGGTATGTTCTTTTATGTAGTGTAATCTTAATCTTTGTGGAAGTCAAAGCGACCGCTGTGTTGCAGAAATGCATTTTAGCATTACTAGTGATCTGTTGGTTGTTTTTTTTTACCGTCCAATGACCGGCGGGTCATGCTCTGCGTAAATTGAACTGCCTTCATTAGGTCGCATACAACGACCGGAGAGGAGTATACCTCCGGGTTTCACACGAGCAGTAGTTATCTTGTTTAAGGCGTGACATTTATTAGGTATTTATAAAGACAGTTTGTGATTTCAACGTACAATATAGATCATACATCATCATCTTTCGCCTCATCAACATGCATCAGTGCTTTCATACACGCTCGTTGGTTAAGGGTTTGACCTGGCTCTTTTTTACAATGGCCTCAATTTGGTCATGGTAAGTACGCCTTGATCGGCCCGTACCAACTTGCCCGCTCACGCCTCACTCGGTTTGTGAATATGTTTCATTCATTCTCTCTACATGTCCGAACCGTTTAAGCACCCCTTTCTCTATTTTTGTCACTACACCTTC